GTGCAGTAGCATCACATGGCATGAAGCGTGATGCAGTGTCACCAAAAAGCCATTTGGGGATGCTACTGTGCAGTAATTTAGTACTTGTATATGCAAGTTCTAAATGACTGTGCAGTAAGGATTGTGCAGTGTCTCATGTAGATGTCGCCACAGGAGATTTAAACCGCTTGCCACTATTCCATTATATGAAACCATTTTATTTAGTGAAAAAAAACATACACTATGCTAATACAAACATTTCTACTGAGTGAAGATGTTATATTTGGCATCAGCAAGCAGGGGTACTGTACTGAAAATTTTTTGGGTACAAGATTTTTTTTTTTTGAACTCAGTTCAGCTGAGCTGACTTTCCATCCCCTGCACTAGATCAGGCTGGGGAGGGAAAGTTAGTCCAGCTGGGTGAACTTCCCCTCCCCAGCCTGATGGCAGGGCTGGAGAGGGGAACTGAGTGATCAGGTTTAGTTCCTTTCCCAAGCCTGACTGCAGCTCTTGGGAGGGGAACTGAGCCTGGGTTCAGTTCCCTTCCCCTGTGCTGTGATTGGCTTCCTGCAGCCTGGTGGCAGGAGATGGTTCTCCTCTGTCTCCCATCACCTCACTGCTGACTTCAAAAAAAAAAAAACCGAAATGTTTTGAAACTTGTGAAACATTTTGACTAGCCTTGTTTTGTTTTGAGGCTGTTTCAAAGCCCTTCATTTTGATTTGATTTTGCTGTTTTGAGCTCAAAATGAGACAAAAGTGTCAAATCAAAACAGCTGGTGAAATTTTGCACAGCCCTACTAGTTAGGTCAATCTGAGTGTAACATCTGCACATGCCCCATTATAATGGCCAGCCACAAGGAGGAGGTTCAGCTATGTTTCAGTAAGTTAACATAATCCTAACTTTTACTCTTTTTGTCTTCCTTAGTGATTCATATACCCATCTTCCATACACATATACAAAATACATCTATTCCTTCAGACCTCTCACAAATCTGCATTATTTGTACTGGGTATTTGACAGAGCTGATCAAATAGCTTCCAGTGAAATGTTTTTTTTCCCCCCTCAGAATATATCAAATCATCAAAATCAAAATGTTACTGTCACAGAGTGGGGACCTAAGAGCAGCCGTGATCTCTCCTAGCACCCCCTACAGTGCCAAGTGGGGTGTCCCTGCATCCTCATTCTCACCCGCCACGTCTTTGATGACAAAAGTATTAAGGGAGGCTGCCTTTTCAACCCCTTCGGACATGGTACCCTGATGTATCCCAGTTTGTCTCCCATCTAAGCGGACTCTGTGAATTTAAGTCTCATGGGCTACGCGTGGCTCCTACCAGCCCTAATACCACACCCCAAGCCTCTCAGATGTACTGGACAGTGGTGTGTCTATTCTTGTTGCCCGCGCCCTCACGGCTGCCCTCTGGGCTTGTCTTCCCTTAGCAGCCCTCTCTGGGGCTCCTACCCATATGCTTGCCCTCTCCGGGGCTCTTATTCCTATACACCCTCCCTGGGGCACAACGCGATACTCTCACCCCCCTGGGGCCTTCCCTTGTGATCCCCACAATTGAGGCTCAGGTGGTCTTAGCCATGCCTGGCCTCCAGACCCCCTCTCAGGTCCTATGCTCCACTGGGGCTTTACTCAATAGGGCTTAGGCAGCCTCAGCTGTGCCTGGCCCCCAAATTCCCTTCTTGGGGCCTCTAGTCCTGTGCACCCTCCCTGGGGCTTCTAGTCTTATGTGCCCTCCCTGGGGCTTAATGCAAGCACCCTCTGGTCTTCTTGCCAGTGCCCACTCTGGTGCTCCTCAATTGGAGCTCAGGTGGCTGTAGCTATGCCTGGCACCTAAGTCCCCTCCTTCTTAGGTCTATGACTTCAATCCAGCTTAGGCAGCCTCGGCCTTACATGGCCCTAGGTCCAGACTACTGTGCCCTCTCTGGCACCTGACTGCTGTGCCCTCTCTGGCACTAGGAACCCCCACATTACTGGGGCACTCCCATGAGGCCTCCTCCAGCCCCTTATAGCCTCACCTAGTCCTCCAGGTTAATTACAAACAACAATCGCAACAACACAAGCCAGCCAGCTATAACTCAGAACTAAGCCACCTGGCTAAACATGAACTCTAAGCCCTCTGGCTACGCATCAATCAAATCCCCTACCTGGGCTTTCTCCTCCCAGTATCCTTGAGCTGAAGCTGTTCAGGCCATCTAGCTTCTTTAGGCTGCAATGCTCCAGCAGAGCTCTTTCACCCTTTGATGTTAGCAGGGAACTGCCTGCTTGGCCTCGGCCTAGGCTGTTTATATAGGCCAGGCCCTGCCCCCTTCCGGTCAGCTGACCGAACTGCAGTTGCCCCGGCAACCGGCACCTGTACCTTTTCCTAGGAGCAGGTCACTGAAGTGCCCTGCGACAGTTACATAGGACCATATCAGTTCTGAAAAAAATTAATGTAGGAATAAAATGGAAAAAAGTATCTTAAAGGCAAAGCAGAGTGTTTTTATGTTTTTTTTAATTTGAAATGTGTTATATTTTATAGTCTTTATTTTATTCAATATATTATTGTTTAATTGCATATTATTTATTCATCAATTTTATTTTAATATTATACAGGGCTTTGTTATTTCTATGTGGTATTTGGAAAATAAAAATAAGATGGAGAGTATTAAAATAAAATAGAAAAAAAGTCACCACTGACATAAATATTTCACTATTACATAACAAAATGTCTTTAACCCAAAACTTAGAACACAAAACAAACCTTTGTTGCACAGAAAATATTTAAATTCAGTGTTTCGTCAAGGTTTTCAGAACAAAAACAGTTTTTAAAATTGTAGAATAACCTGCAAAATAGAAAATTCAGTTTTAGACCCGCTATAGTATTCTGTCATTTTTTATGCTTATTTCACCACTACTTTCAGTGAAATTAGAGGCTCTCTGTGAGGAAAAATTAAAGTATGGGTGTGTAAGTGATTTAGTGTAAGAGAAAATATGTTGAGTGTTTCAATTAAGATTCCTGCTGTGCCTTTCAGACATTTAAATGATGTTCCTTGCACCAACATCTATTGATTCTGCAAATTTTGGGTGATGTCTTCAAGAGCGACCACAATTTATTTTGGGTTTTGTCAGGGCAGAAAAGGTAATCCTTGATTACAACGTTTCAAGAACGGTTGAGATTGTAATAAATGTGACTGTTGTCAGTAGTCAGTATTATATTTAGAAGTAAGTGTTTGCACGATTGGTCAATTACATTATAAAAATATTTTTGATGTGACCACCAAGTTTTAGCTCATTTTACTCTGCATGTCACTGAGACAAAAGAGGATAGGTAGTTTGATTTCAGTCTGCAATTCTGACCAGGAACATTTTAGGGGACCCAGTGTGAGAATGTATTAATGTAAGTAGTTCAATAAGTAGGACAACTGTCCTTTTCATCCTGAGGGAAGATGGCAGTCTGGGCCTAGCCGGGCTTGGAGATTACTCTCTGATTAGTTCTCAGTGACACTGATTAGTTCACAGCTTGTACACGCTGCAGGGGTTTACTTTGGTTTAATTCTCCCTAAACTGAAGCACCTTCCCCTTGAAAGTGGCATGATCTGTGAGTTGTATCATGTAATAGTACTGTAATAGTAATGTTAGGTTCTGTCTGATTATTACATGGTGATGACGTATGATTTTTTACTTGTATAAGGCAGTTGCTGAAATGTTGACATTTCAGTTACTTTCCTGATCTGATTGTGAGGTAAAACTTGTTTTCCTTGGCTATCATGCTTCAAGTCATGTGATCACTTATCTCTCTATGTTGATGCCTGAATTTGCGTCAGCTCTTTTTCAGGTTCTGGTGGCTGGTGTTTAATATCCTGAACCTAGCAGGCTAGTAAAAAAAACCCCAACTGCAGGCCAAAATGCAGGTTTTGTTATAATTCCATAACATCATTACTATGGATTGTTAATTGGCTATAAATGCAAATAGACATGATAATTTAAATTCCATTTAATATGATTTTGCAGTTATTCAGTAGGACAACATATACTGAAAAATACATGTCTAGGAACTTGTGTTAGATTTTTGTTATTGTTCATACTCCCCAGGGAGTTTATAGGGCTGAATCCCTTATTTGCTTATTATGCAATCCCATTAATTGATTTCAGCAAAGTAGAAGTAAAGACATCATTTAAGTTTTGATAGTTTTCTTTATCTTCTTAGGCCCAGCCCAAACGGTTCTGTTTTCAGACCCTAATGCTTACCCTGTGCTAAATGCAGGTTTGGGGCCTTAGAATAAATTTACAATTATATCTAGATTTAGGAATGACAGAAGCAATATAGGTACTATACAGCAGATGCTGGTGAAATTTTATTAGACTAATCTATTCCAACACTTAAGGGAATTGCCTCTCTCTCTCTTTCAAACAGACACAGAACAGAATGAAACTGATGGCCGATAACTATGATGATGACCATCACCATTACCATCATCACCACCATCACCATCACCACCGATCTCCTGGAAGGACACAGCACTCCAACCACAGACCCTCTCCAGATCAGGTCAGTTGCCTCTTTTCTTACCTTTACATGTGCCCTTTTGCCATTCTGAAGTTTCAAGATAAAATAAATATTCTAAAGAAAAAATAAACAATAGAAGTGATAGGCTCTTTGAACTGAAACTAATAGCTTTGGTATTTATTTCAATCAGTCACGGAATCTAAATGTTTTTCTTCCTCTTTCCTTTTGGCATTTTGTCTCTCTTGTTATGTTTTTCTTCCCTCTCCTACTTTACTGGGGTTTTTTGGGTTTTTGGATTTTTTTTGCTTTCATAAGTCTCTTCACTAGAATCACAATTTTACTGCCTAAATAGAAAGTTACTGAAGAATTCCTTGCACCAATTTCAGCATTAGGCTTGCTTTTACTTATTTTTTAAAACATCAGTAATCATAATCAAAGACTTAGCATTTCCATACTGAGCCCTTGTAGTCATTTCTTCCTAAACTAACTGGAAATATCTTTGTGTTTGAAATGTTTATTGGGCAGATATCACACAAACTCTGTCTTGATCATCTTGAGGCAACAGTTTAAATGTTTTCATATACACTTTGGACTAAAAACACCAAGAAATTCTGAGTGCCTCACTACTTGAGTGCCCAACATGAGGGAGCATGAATTTTGTCTTCTTTAAATAAGGTTCTTCAATGGTATGTCAGTTTGGGGCACCAAAACTGATACAATGTCCCCAAATCTAGTTGCTTCTGCCAATGGAAATATTTTTGTTATAGTTTTTATTAATAAATATATTAAAATATTCTTAATATTTTTAAAAGTTGGAGGCAAAATAAAGTTAGAATAAGATTCTCTTTAATAAGCTGTACCATACTTTTGAAGTAGTACACTTTCCAATATAAAACAAATCTTCATGCTTCTAATTTGGATAATTTTAATGCATATTATTATGCATTTCTCTTGTCTTTCCAGCACATTTAAAAAAAAATTTTATGCTGGTTCTATAGTTAATGTTGCTATAGGTTGGTAGATAAGTAACTGGTGTCAGTTGGTCAGCCTCAGTAATCTTGGATTGTAGCCATCTGGGTAAAGTGAATACCTCAGTAGTAGTTTATTATTTTGCTGTGCTGTGTTTCCAAACAGAAATACAGAGCTTTTTAATTTCTGAAAATCTAAGGAACTGATCATTCAAAGATTTCATCAGTTGCATAACTTGATGCATTTAAGTAGTGCCATTGAAAGTAATGGAACTTTGACATAAAGTTACAGATGGGTTTTAATCCTTTTAGGAGTGAAACCTTGATGTGTATTTCTGAGAAATTTCTTTGGTACTGTTGGAATTTAGATATCGCTGGCTTTATACTATTTTATTAAAATATCATCTGGCTGCCTTTTATACCACCTATCCCTGATTTCACTACAGTTAAAAGTAGGCAAAATTTATCTGGGTATTTGATTCTGTGTCTACAGCTGTGATAGTATCTATTGATGGATATTTCACTACTTTAACAACACCCAGATGTGCCAAAAAGTTAAGTTACTTTCTCAGGTGATATTTTTCCAAACCATAATATATTACTTCCTCGAAAAGAGCAAGGAAGAACCAAGTAGAAGAACTGTTACTCAGAGGCTTGTCTATGATTCACAGTAGGTGCATCTACATATTCATTAATGCACCTTAGATAGTGTGCATTTAGTTTACTAGTTCTCTAATAAAAGACTAACTAAATGCGCAGTACCTAAAGTTACTCTACGTTAATGCTGGTGCAAGGTTAATTAGTGACACTTACTGTGCAGTAGGCTATTAACATGCTTTGTGCTGTGACGCTCTATTGCACAGTGCTATTAGGCTAGTGCTCAGTAAGCATCTTGTGTAGATGTGCCCTATACCTCCAAGTACTGTGTCTGGGTTGGGGCAGTTACACATCAGCTTTTGCTGCAGTCTGTGTTTAGAATCAGTGCCTGGTCTATCATAAGATGTGAGAGAAGCACACAATCCACATTGAAATGA